GCGTGGAATACTGTCGGTTGTATTTTTGATTGATGCTACAATGTCATTATTTGTTCCTGATGACTTCTTGTAGCTTACGGACATTCTTTCTCTAAAAGGAAGAGCGGTAACAGGATGACTGATATGCAGATGCCACCTCGGGCTATCAAGTGGCGCACAAATATGGGTATTTTCACTTGGCGTTGCTAGTCACATCCAGCCATGTTGTAGCCCACCTGCCGTTGCAAGTAGAATATATCAGCAAACATATTTCCATTGAACCGTTTCTGAACGACTTTTTGACAAAATTTTCTTACCTTATGGAACTTGTCAAGCAGGCGGAGCTTCACAGTATTTTAGGGCTTGCAGTTGTCCCTTTCATCATTTTTCACCTAATGCAATAGCTTTGTGAAGGTTTCAGAAACTGGTGCTCTGTAAACAGAACCACTTTATCTCAGTTCTGGGGATCATAGGAAGTTGTCCATTCGGGATTTGAATCCATAAAACAGTTCAGGGTACAAACGAACTACTGTGCTAGGAGACTGAATGTTTAAGTGAGATACAGATGATTCGTTAATTCGGTAGTTTCTTTCTGACCAGCAAGCATCCAGTCATTGGTCGATCGAGGTTCTGTTCTTTTAGGAAATGTTACATTCTGCGTTTTGTAATTGATTGTCTGGATTTTGCTCGTTCTTTATCTTTTTTCTTGTCATGGCGTGGTTTATTATTTCTAGCAAGAAGCTGAAGATCACAGCATAGCTGATGATGAAGAGTTTTCCACCGATTCAGAGTATTCCGGCGAAGACGCTGAGGTTATTCTGTTTTGGCTTAAAGTGCTTGACTTTAGCAAATCTCAAATTTTCCCTTCAGATTCAAGCGGCTTATAAGTTTGGCCTGCTCAAACCCGGTTTAAACATCATGAAGACGAAGCAGCTACCCGGTCCGCCGATCAACAACGAGGTACGCACATGATTTACTAAGAGAGTCGTGTCTAATGAGTGATTTATGGTGACCGTTTGTTCAGGAAGGTCTCCGAAAAAAGCTATGTGAGTTCAAAAGCAAGAACCAGTGGTTGGAGCGTATGGACGTTACCGTAGATCGACCAGTCGAATCCACTGAAGACGACCGTGAAAACGATTTTCTTCGTGAAGTTAGCTTGTAACTGCTTAACCCTTCTTAATAACATCATATTTTATTTATATATTGACTGTTTAAGTGAATGAATTGCATCTTTGATAATATCGAAATGGAAATGGGGTTGCACCTTATGCTGATTCTACTCTCGATAGTTAGCTATCAGGTGGTTCAAGGTGAAGTGCAGCCCTCCCTACATGGTATGATCGTATACCTCGTTCATTCTGGTATGTCTGTATGAAACTACCATGCTGCACCTGTTGTTCGCAAGTGGGCGATTTGCTATCCATTGTGGCACCACAGCAATTTTGAATAAATTACTTGTTCAAGAGAATTCACGATGAAGACAAAGATGATCCTTTTCGGGATTCGGACCCGGCACCTTCAGAATTCGAAGGCGATTTCATTATCACTCTGGCATCATGCCCTATGATGTGTTTCTACTTCACAGTTTTATTAAAATTCTCATCATCGCACTCACACACAAAGTAACAGTGTTCTGTGTTTCATTAGAGATAAAGATTGGAGTTTATGTTGTTGCAGCACTCAGGGATCTAAACTGCGAATTAGCGATGATGCGAGAGCTATAAGGAATCACTAGTCTATTTTCTTTTGTCCCGCTGTTAAAAAATAGTCATCATCTGGTAAAGGCTATTGTTATTGGCAGAAACAGAGCCAGATTGTTGTTCACATAATAGCTGCGCCTATCTGCAAATGAAACGGCGTGCCACGGCCGTACCTGACCATTTGACTTGGGCTAAAACAGTTTAAGTACATGCCTATTGTAATTGCGACCCTTGGCGCTGTGTTAAACTTTCATCAGTTCCAGCCTAGTTGTTTGAATGATTCATAGTTTTCCCGGTTTTTCCTTACTAGTATATGCTAGGACTCCTTTTTCAACAGACTTAATTGAGATTGTTCATTGTCTACAGCAGACACATTGGTCTGACTGAAAGAATGCCCTTGAAAACCGGAGTGCAACAAATACGTATCTTCTGTTATTATCAGTGAATGTTGGGGCGCAACCGCAAGATTTGTACCCAAAATCGGGTCAGAATGATAGATCCGATATATTTTGATATGAATCTTACTTTGTTCAGTCAGTGTAACAGTGTATGTAATGATCCAGTTGAGATTACAATTAAGAATCATTCAGATACGTGAAGCGATGCTCTTTGTAACATTGAACGCTAGTTCTTTCATGCCATACTTGCGTCTTATATTGGGGATTTCAATGAGCTCGGACTTTGCACAGTTCTGTTAATTCTGCTATGACTACCACAGATAAAATTATGAAGTTGTTTTTCTGTATCAGTCTAGTGTACAGAAGTGTATGACATATAACATGTCTGTTGCATGTGCCATATATTGTGTTTAGCGTCTTCAGTTATTCACTTTTTTCATGATCAGTAGCGCGAACCAGCCACAGTGCCATTCCATCAGTGAATTATTATAGTGCCGTCGGGTCGTTGCACTAACGATGGATCTGCCTGAATATGCTGTTTCATACATGTGACCTGTGATCTGTTTCTAGGTCTCTGGCAATAGGGCGACTGTGAGATTGCCCCGCGAATGGTTAAAAATCTGGGTGGGAGCGTGATGTTTGATATCAGCCATGGGGAGGGGATAATCTATTGAGTTCTGAGACAGTTGCATTGAGGAAAAAACTATGCGCACTTAATATTGAAAATCCGTCTATGTCTTCTCATTTGGCAGGCATGAAGGGGGACGTTATTTACATCCACCTTCTACAGGATTAGGGTACCTTCAGTCAACAGGAATTTTTCTCAGCCTGGTTACGTTTAGTAATTAATTTGTATCATACTTTTCGTTTACCTTATAATGTTTTAAAGTGAAACGTTGACTGATCTGTCACTGGGAACATTAATTTCGTTTGGCTGTAGTTGCGAACAAGCCAAAAGGACCGTCGCCGAGGGCATAGCGAAGCTGCACGCCATGAAGATCCTGACCAAACGTCCAACCGACTACTTTGCAGAGATGGCGAAAAGCGACGAGCACATGCAACGGGTAACAGGCGAACAAACGATCGATTTTGTTGCGTATATGCCATAAATCCTGTTGGTCAATTTTGTTGCAGATCAGAACTTCGCTAATGAAACTTAAAACAGCTAAGGAGCGCTCAGAGGCTGCAAAACGAGTCAGGGAAGAAAAGCGCTTCGCCGTGCGTGTACAAAGGCAAGTTTTAAAGGCTCGTCAGGTGCAAAAGCGGACGCTAGCCGACGCGGTGAAGAAACATCAGAAAGGTGAGCTTTCAGACGGGTCAGAAATGAATACCACAGCTTGGTAAAAACTTCACGTGTTTAACAAGGTGCTACACTACATCAGGCGCTTCAGTTTTGAGCTTCAGAGCCGATTTCGCTGAATATCGGCGGCTTTATAAAGGGCTACCAACTTTTTAAATTTGAATTCGTCTGTAAATAAGAACTTTTAGGCGCAAGGGACCAGCTTTACTCTATGCTTGAAGACGGATCCTCGAGGTTCAACAAGAGGTAATAACATTTTTAAAAATATTTATCCAAATGTCTTCTTAAGTTAATTAAATCGTCGTAATAAATAACTTTTTGGCGATATTACGTATTTACCCAGTAAATCTTTATTTAAGATGAATGAAGCGACGTAGATCAAAGCTTTATTGTATAGGTACTGTTCATTAGAGCACAGTAGATACTAAATACTTCGATACGCGTGCTTTTAATTATTATGACTAGCATATACGTTGTTTGTTGCATTGTATATAATATTTATACTACTGAAGATCAAGTAATTTGTTCTTTCATTTGTATTCATACAGAAATTTGCAAAATGCATAAAAATGGTATTTGTATACAATGCAAACGAATAAGTTGGTCAAACAGGTGAATGAACCATACCAACGTATCGGCTCATCTCTCAGAAACCTTCTTCGGGGTGGTCCGGGTTGATTTCTGCAGCAGCAGTTTCTGTTGCCGCAACAGCTGCGGACCCCTCAGCCGATTCAGAAGTCAGCACGTACCACGCTGAAAAAGGGTCCAAAGAAATGTCAGTACTGACCAATCATGCGATTGACCAACTTGTTCATTTGAGTTATTTATAAATGAATAACCATTTTTATGCATTTTTCAGTTTTCAGTTTGTTCTGCTATGCATATTTCTATACATATACTGTTATAAACAAATATGTTTATAAAGCTTCGATTAACGCCACTAAGGTCATGTTTTTCTTATAAGTTTATATACATAAGAGGGGTAATATAGCCAGTGACTATCTTGTTTATAGGTACCTACTGAATATCTTGGTTGGTTAGACGAACTGTTCGAAACTAGTTAAAATGCATGATCACCGTGCTCAGTTAAATGAAGAGATATTTCTATAGTGACTTTTTCTTTCACTTGGCAATCAACTTGCTATATTGCTTCATATTCTGTTGGGGATCATCTTCATTTTAATTTAATTCTGTATTACAGTACTCCTAGCTCAGTCAAATGGCGACGGCCCTCCTCTCGATGAATCATCGACTCATTCCCCAGTCGAATCGCTCGCCCTTCAGTCTGCGGACGTGGTTGAGTGATTTTGCATGATAAGGAAACGTGAGTGTGCTTGCCGAATAGCTACAGATATCTTCTTTCAGAAAATTTATTCTGACAACTGACGTTAAATTGGGATATCTGTGTTGCAGCCGTTCTGAACAGCCTTTTCATTAGTAGTTAGTAATTAATAGCTTATAATATGAATACCAGGCATGAAACTTTCCTTTTGTCTGAATGGCGGTTTTCGACCAATGTATTTTGGTGATACATACCCATACATGCTAAGCCTTAGTCGTGATCAGAGTTCACAATGTCCATCGAATTACAGAACGCTGAATATCAGTGCCATTTCCCTGAGTCGACGAATATCTCATATAGCCACCGAATTACGACATACTTCGAGCAGGAAGCTGAGATGCAACTTTGGTGAGCGAGGTATAAGGGGATTTGGTGTCAGAGAGAAAATGTTCCATTTACGGTACAGTACTTGGTGCTTTATGGCAGAAACGCTGAAAAGCCGCGAATATAGCACAGCACAAAGCAGCGACATTCTGTTTGTGTAAACAACTCGCGGTGATGTTCTCAACAAACACGTTAAAAACCAGATGAAGGTACGGACAATGAAATCTTGAATCCGTTAGAGTGCAATCGGAGGTCTGTAATATCACTGTTATGACAGAAAATTGAATTAACATTAGTTGTGAACAGTTTTGAGAATATGTGATCAGCCTTGGCCCTAATTAATACTCAAGGAACAATAAACAAAAATTATGAGGGCCAGTTTATTTCGTCAAGTTTATTGGCTGCATGTTAATGTGAGCACTTGGTGTTCGGTTGAAGTGTTATAAACGGATCGAAATGTCGTAAAAGTATCTTTTATAGTTTCAGTTGGAGAAGCTTGTGGCATTACTTGTTAGCTTTAGCATTTGTTAAATGTCGCTGAGGAGCCGCTAGACCGTACAG